TCGGAAACAGGCTCCAGGCTCTGAGCCATCAGCCCAGAGCCTGATGCGGGGCTCGAACTCACGGACCGCGAGATCGTGACCTGGCTGAAGTCGGACGCTTAACCGACTGCGCCACCCAGGCGCCCCAAGGATTTTAAATTATTAAAGAACTTTACCAAAACGATTAATTTATAGAGTTTGTAATAAAAATATTTTAACAATTAAAAAAAGTAAAATATATTGCACCTATTTCTTTGTATTTATTTTAATGTGGCTACTAGGAAATTTAAAATTACACATGTGGCTGGCATTCTGTTTCTGCTGGACAGCATCCTTTGCAATTGTTCCATTCCCTCAGAAACCCATTTAGAAGGAAATCACAAATGGAGGCTCATTTATACATATTAGGGGAAAAACTTCACAGGAGAAAAAGAAAGCCTTCAACCTAGGTCAGAGAGAAAAGCCACTCAGGGCTGTGAGACTACAGCCACAGGGTGTTGATGAATTTGTCAAAGTCCCTGAAGTAACAGGAGGAAGGCACTTGCTGTCAAGGGTCCAGTGGAGAACACTATCGAGACTCTAGGAAGCCCTGTGAGGGATGCCCAGTCACATGGCCCATAGGTTCATTTGTACAGACTGGAACTGCACAACGTGTAGCGACATTAACTGCTATGGCAATGGGCAACCCAGTTATCCTCTACGAGTTGCCATTCTGCCCTACATTAAACTGAGGAAATTACATTTTTTACTCTTTGGAGCCCTCCGAAGCCATACAAAATTATGGAGAGAGACAAAATGACAAAGGGAACCATCGCTTCCTGGAACTACTACAATCCCTTGCCAGCCACCTAAGAGAATGAAGGAAGCTTATGAGGATAATGACAACCCCCAGCCTGCATAAACCATGTCACCATTTACAAGGTGTCATCACAGACCATGTCACACGTCACAGAGGGGCAAAGAACAAGTATAATCATCCCCATCCACACTGACAGATGGGTCACTGGGATTTAGAGCGGTGTTGTCCAGGGTCACAGAGATCTAGATACCTACTCAGACCCGATCAGGACCCCAGTCACGTGGTCATGCCACTTCATTATAACTATGCAAATATGTAGAATGTTACGTACATAATTTTTACAACATCCTCTGTTCATACTTCTGAAAGCTAAATTCTCCCTTTATCCTCAGATAAAGAAAAAAGTCATAGTAGAAAAAAGATTGAATAAACCTTAAAAAATTTTTTTAAATGAATGATATGGATAAATAATCATGTCCCACTTCTACTCTTAGCTCTGGTGAAACAATCTTTTGTGTTCTAAACATGTAAATACGTAATAAGAATTCAGAAAGCTTCACTCACCTTTAGGGGTGGATGGTGAATCATGAAAATCCATCACAGACAAAACTGGATATATAAGTTACTGGGGCCAATGAGTGTGGACAAAAAGGGGAAGCTAATGCCATGAACACTCAACTTAGTAAACAGATAGGGCCCAGAGTGAAATGTGGGTGGGGAAAAGAGCATTTGCGTTGAGTCATATCTTCCAGTGTCTTCCTCCCTAAAGGATTTGTTAGGCTACACACGCATGTTCACTAGTCTTCATGGAAAGAATAGTGGAGACTCATTACAACTCTGATTGGGGGGCACTACCCAGTTCTTTCCTACTGAAATGATAACAATAGCAGTGACAGGCATAATAACAGTAGTAAGAGCTTTTACTTATGTAGTGTGAACTATGAGACAGACATTATTCAAAGCCAGCGCATAAATGAACTCAAGTAATTCTTACAACGACCCTGAGGTGGTTACTATTATCCCCATTTTATTTACAGAAGGAGAAACCAAGGCACAGAGTCCGGTACTTACTACCACTGTGCCATATACGTTACATGTGTCGCCTTAGCTAATCCTCACAGCCACCTTGTGAGGTAGATTCTGAGGCCTGGGGGGATGAGGAAATACACCCAAGCTAATGAGAGGGAGAGCTGGGATTAAAACCCAAGCTGCTAATCCTCCCCCTTAATCCCTGTATAATACTGTTTCCCCCTACCTTATGGGACCATTCTTATGACACCTAGCCATAACCCCACTGCTTGGAGGTGGGCAGTATAGCAGATACTGCTATACCCTGCCTGGGTGTCCTTTCTGGGACCCCTGGCTGCTATGAGCTGGCTGCGAAGAGCTCATGTATGCCTCTTCTGCAGGGTCTAGCCCCTGTCCAGAAATGGAGGGGAAGCTACATTCTCCACTTCCCCTAACAGCCAGTGGCTGACTGGTATTAGAGGACAGAAGCCAGGTCCTCCTCGTCTCAGTTCGGAGGTACCATTTATTCCCGAGCTCCATGGAGTCAGGCTGAGGAGAGACTTCAGCTGAAACCGTGTCTTTGCTTGGCTTCCTCCCCTGCTGTCTGGCCCCCCGCCTTGCTTCTGGATGAGTTTCTCCCAAGAGCCTTCACCTCCATCCCTCCACCCCCCTGCCATTAGTCACCCACCACATAAGAAACCTGGGCCTCCCGTTCTGCTTCTAGGGAGCCTCACCTAAGAGACAGGATTTATCAGGTGCAAACAGCAAAGTTTTAGACTGTAATCAAAGTAGCATGGAGGATACTCCGGAACTCTGGCTTTTTAGAAAAAAGTATTTTTGTCCAGAAAAAAAAAATCCCACATTTTTGCTAAAGGGCTTCAGGATGAAAGTTGAAAACATTTATGTAATAGACTGAAAATGAATCTTCAACACTTACTTCACTAAAGAAGCTTTGCGACACAGTTTGTCAGCCCCCCTGTAGTAATTCACCAACTGCATCAGCCCAGGCTCGTGACCTATAAAGGAAAGAGGAGGCTCAGAAGGGAAAGAGGACAGGTGGGAAACGACAATGTCAGCACCAGCATGCAGAAGAGAGAACAGCTGTGTCATGCCCAGCTTTTCCTTCTCTCATTTCAAGACTGGTTGGTGGAAATGGAACAATTCCATTGCCCTGCACCTGTACCCCCTCCCACAGCATGGAACCAGAAACCCTCCCCCTCCCCAGAGTGGATATTAAAGATACTAATATCCTAGGTCTGCCGAACACCACTGCTGCCTTTGTTTTTTCTTCTTAGGGCGGAAGGGTATTTTCTATTTCACCTCTCTTTGATCCTCCCCAAACCCCACTCTTGGCTTCACACATAGGGACTTAGTAGTCTCTGCATAGTAGGACTTTATTTTTTTTTACACTTTAAAAATATTTATCTATTTGTGGAAGAGAGACAGAGCGTGAGCTGGGGAGGGGCAGAGAGAGAGAGAGAAAGGAGACATAGAATCCGAAGCAGGCTTCAGGCTCTGAGCTGTCAGCACAGAGCCTGACGTGGGGGTCGAACCCATGAACCGTGAGATCATGACCTGAGCTGAAGTCAGATGCTTAACTGACTGAGCCACCCAGGCACCCCAAGCACAGTAGGACTTCAACAGTGACGCCTTGGCACCCCTAACCTTGCTTTCTATAGCCACCAAAGAAGCACTAGGACTAGGATAGTACTGTCTTCAAGCATGTCTAACTCTGTGAGCTTCTGGGAGAGGCACAAGAGGTGAAGGAAGATAGTAGAGAAGCCATGTCTATAAAATCAGAAGCCCTGAAGACTTTCTTCTGTATATCTCCCACAGAGAAACTCATTTTCAATGAATCCTACCGCATGTCCCCTCCTCCATAAAACAGAGCAGAGAGGATACCAACAAAAACAAAAGCCTTAATATTTGTTTAAATTCCTAACAAAATGCATTCAATTTCCAGCAACAAAAATAAAAGTAAAACCAAACAAAGGGAGTCTGAGTAGAAGATGCCAGAGGTAAAAAGGATACATCTGAGAACAGCATATAATCAAATAAAAATATTTAGGTACTAACTTGCTCTCACTGTCTCCCTGGGACAGATGAACCTGCCTCACACCTGCGCCTACCTTCTCATCCCCACGGCAAGAGCATTCCTGAGACTTTATCTGGCTCTATAAGCCATCTCCTTGGGTTTCACACAATGCACTGAAGCAAAAACTAAACATCCCTAACAGTGAAGACATATAACCATTTTGCTTGTGTGATGCTGTTTTCTTTTCCATAAAAACCAAATGTTTTCTTACCATCTGTTGACTTTGTGGTACCTGTTTAGGATTTGGACCCTGTAAGTTTCTGGCCTTCCCCCCAGTCCTGAGCACCACAGCAATGCAAAACCACCCCTGCTTCAGCCCCAACAGAGACATTTTTGCCAGTTTTGAATATTAGGATTTCCCCCTAAGCTTTTACAGCCAGGCACTGCCCAGTCTATAGAGGAAGGTAAGTCAGGCAGGCAGGGATGTGGACAGAGCAAGAAGGAAATATATGTTCTCAACTATAAGTAGTTCTTCCTTCAGGGAAGGTATTCTCTTTGCTGAGGGCTTCCTGGAGAGACAGTTTAACAAAAGGGAATCTCCAGGCACATTCCCTGTATTCCAAGATTGCTGGGGGTTGGAATCAGTCCCTCCATGGAGTCCTCATCATACATCCTAAATTTGTGTAACAGTAAAAAGTGCATTCCAAAGAAAAAATTTCGATAAGCCTATGCTACAACACCCTTCATTCCTGAAATCATTACAACTGTACACACCCCCCGCCCAAAGGCTCTATGGAAGTAGCCAGTGAGTTCCAAATGGCCTATTTTCAGTCTGCTCATTCAGCCTCTCTACCCTCTGACCACACCTCTTTTCTAAAAACTATGTCCTCTGCTGGACACAGAACACCGCTCTCTTTGGACTGCCCTTTAAGACAGAGATGACTTTTCCTCATTATCGATCCTCCTCTTCCGTCTTTGGCAAATCTGTTTGGTCCCCGCCCCGGGAGAATTTTGGCAAGGAACAGAGGCTGCATCTCCAGGATGACTGCGCAGTGAGGAGAGGCCACGAGACGGTTCAGGTCAATGGGATGTAAGTTGAAGTGATCTGCACAACTTGTGGATTACGTCATCTAGAAGGGAGCTGCCGGTCTTCTCCTTTCCCGTGCCCCTCCCTATAGGCGAGGATGTGGATATGGATGTAGACATGATGCCAAGCTGGCATCGACCATGGGAGTGAAGGTAACTCTCTCGGGGTGAGCAGGGCAGAGAAGTGGGACGCAGGGTGCAGCCAGTGTCATGCAAAATCTGCATTCAACACACAACTGTGAAAACACATACTTCGGGGAACCTCAGGAAAGGTCTAAATCAGTCACCCTTCCTTCCGCCCTGGCCCGAGCTTGGCTCACTTCTGCAGCTCCTGCTTTGGGAACCCAGAGGTCTTTTCCAAATCCCCAGTTGATCTGAGCCTTCGGGTAGCTGAATCCGCAGGGTTTTCAACACACACAAGGATCCCTCCCGCGTCAACACCAGTCACGGTGAAATCCTCAGCGCAGAAAATTCGCAAGAGGACTTCAGCTGGAGGTCCGACGCCGGCTCAGCGGGGCCTTGCCCCGCCCCAGCTCTGCCCCGCGGCCCTGCGCGATTTGGGGGCGTCGGGCCGGGGCAGTGCGGGAGCGCGCGGCCGACGCCCCCCCCCC